TGGGCGGGGGCAGAGAAATATTTGTGGGCAACAATTGTATGCCCATTTTTGGGGGAGGGACATTCAGGTCTAAGTGATTTTTTAGTGCAGGTTATTGACGTCACGGACGTTAATAACCCCACTGAGAGGGAGAGTTTTTGGATTGAGAAACTAAATAGTTATGTCCCACGTGGGCTTAATTTAAGGGAAGAGGTTTAATTAATTTATGCATAGCTAAACGTTAGACTATTTAAGTAAGAGACGGAGATGATGTAGCGTTATTCTGAAGAAGGGGCTTGTCCCCGAAACGTAAAAATATAATTTATTTACTTTGAAGATTTATGATTTTTTGATTTTTTGATATTTATAAATGAAGATTTTTTGGGGCTGGCTCTTGATATATATATATATATATATATATATATATATATATATATATGAAAAAGTTTTGGGTGCCACGCCTGGATATATTATGTGCATGCTTGGTGTTGGTAGTGATTTCTTCATGCAGGCAAAAGTACAAGATTAGGTTTAAAAACTTTAATAGGAAGCTTTAGATTTGACTACGAGTACGACTACGAGTACGAGATTCGTCAAGCTAAACGCATGTTGTATACTTACGCCATCCCGTACTGACGCGATAAAGTCGTAGCCGTTGCCCGTCTGAGTACGAAATTGTGGAGAAATCTCGTAGTCCTCACGACGACTTTTCAAAAAAAGAACAAAGAAAGTTGGCTTTTTTTTTGTTTTCCAAAAATAATTTGTAGCATTTATATAGCGTTTATCCGGCGCAAATAATATATTATTACTAAATATCTGGCCTGTTTTTAATGTTATGACTTATTTACACGTTTTGTAGGGGATTTTAGTCTGCAGGAGATTTAGTTTATGAAACCAGTTTTTCTCTCGTTGGTTTACTGTTATAAAAGCAACATTTGAATGGAAACGAAAACGACTGCGGTAATTTCCTCGCACGCGATCAAATCTTGTACTCGTAGTCGTACTCGTAGTCAAATCTAACGCTCCCTATTAATAAGTTAGTTAATCAGACGTTTCGCCGGTTAGGGCTTCATCAGTGATACAATAAATCTTGAATAATATTCTATCCTATATATATATACACAAATCCACCTAATTATCATAAATAAAAACCATACATAAATTACATGCGTAACGTGCTATGGATAATAGGTCATGTTAAAATGGACATAGTTAAAAATCTATTAGAAAAAAATCATTAGATAAGAATTAAGTAAGAATTAAGTAATCTAAATGTTAAGAATACGGCCCACACAACCGTTCATAATCTTGTTCAAGTATTTTCGAATTTCAAAGGCTTCGAAGATTTTTCGTTCATGTTCGTATCTGATATTTTTTACGTGGGTCAATGTTATGGGTTTTAAGATGGATGAAAACCGTTTGTTTATCCATACGAAGGTGCTCCTTTATGCGTGTCTTTATTGTTCTACTTGTCTCACCCACATAAACTTTCTGACATTGTAGGCAATTTATGAGGTAGACCGTATTCTTGATGTGGCACTGATTTGTTTTCTCTGAGAGTTTGCAGGTATCACAATCTATTGTACAGCTTAACTTGCCTTTCTTCGGGGCGTAATCTCTCCAAAATTCGAAGTACTGTGTTCCCACTGAGCGAGAAAGAAGATCAACAACTAGAACGAATGGCGAGATCACTTGCAGATAAAAGAGAACACAAGATACAATCCTTATTAAAACAGCAAAGTAAGAACTACCACAAATCATCCCATACCCAACCGGAAGGCTTTAAAAACTTATCAACCACTACTATGGATGCTAATTTGATAACCGTACTGAATAAAGGTCCTTCGTTTGTGAATGCTAACCCTGAGATCCTTCCCAAGCTATGTTTAACATCAAGAGCTAGTCTCCAGCTAGCAACAGACATATTTCGAGATCAGTGAGATGACCACCCACCGAATCACGCACAGTGACCGACGCCCGCAATCATTGATGAACTTTAGACTTCGATAATGCTTTCGTTTCCCCGGGTGTAAATATAGCCGCGGAATTAGTACCCTCGCCCTGGGCTTACGCCAGGGACGGCGCGCCGTTGGCTCGGGAATTAATAATTCATGAGGAGAAGACAAACGAAAGTCAATGCAGTGACGTCGGTGTATTTATATGTGATACGAAAACCATGTTCATTCATGCACATAAAATTTAGCTTTGATTTTCTCGACCTAGACAACATTTATTAATTTTTTTAAATTACTTCGCCAACGAATCTTTAAATGGGTCGTTTTTTAAGCCATTTAATGAAACGCTCACAGCCCGTGCTATATAACTGTTCAAAGTACTAGTCTGACCGACGTATATGCTGATCCGTTGTGTTATGCGTCATATGCATTGCCTTCTTTTAAGATAATCTCGTGGTACTTTATTAGTTAACCAGGGAGCATAATTATGTACTTCGTACTCTTGTTGTCCGTAAGGGAGCGTGCTGCATGTATTTAAGTAACCTCATTAAAATGTGCTTCCAAGAATCCCATAGGTCACTTCGGTCAGATGAATATAAAATATAAAGTAATAATCATCCGACAGACTCCCTCCATCCAACACTCTGAATGGTAGATCAACGGGGCTCTTTTAGGTTAAGCCGTTCAAGCCGGCGGCCTCTTGACAAAAAATATTAGACCATGGCCACTGCTGTTGTGATGTTGATATGCTCCTAATATCCATGCATATATTTTCAAATCTCAGACCAATTGCAAGGGTGTGATATGTCCCAATGGAGGCGGATGTGCCAGCAATCTAACCTGAAGTTCAGGCCCTAATTTGAAATAGGGCCTGACACAAAACCTGTCTAGACCGTGGGACGCCCACATGTTATTTTTAGACACAGCATGCAATATAATTCACAAGTGTTGTAGATTTCGTTACACAAAAAAGTTATATTCTCATGAACATGC